GCGTGCTAAAGGAAGGTTCAAAGACCAATTGCCCGTTGAGGGAGCAAAATGCCCGCCTCGGATCAGACGCAGTGGCATGCTAAAGGAGGGGTCCCGTGGGGTCGTGAAACTTTTCCTGGGGGTCGCGGAAATTTTTGGCTACAAATTTGGGGTCGCGAGCCGAGAAAGGTTGAGAACCGCTGCTCCAGCCGCCCGATTCCGAGGGATTCGTCACATCGCGCTGTCTCTGTCGCACTCATGGGACGTGCCGCACGGATGCGAGAGAGAGACGATCCTTCGGAAGCCCCCCGAGGGCGTCAGCGTGTTCACCGTGCGCGCTGCACCCTCGGCAGGGCATCCGCGCGCGGTGGGGCGTGGCGGGGCGCGGCGCGGCGCCTATGACAAAGTCAGCCGCTTGGACGGACAGGGGCGGACAGGGGCTAAAATAGTCCGTCGCGCGGCGGGCGCAACCGTCGCGGGTGTGGGTCGGGTCGAGGGGTGTGCTGCGCGAGCGCGGAGCGCGGCCAGACGACCCGGCGCCGGCCACGGCGGCGACCCGCAGGTCGCTAATTCCGACGCTGTGTCCCTCTCGCACCCCTACGGGACGCCCCACGAGTGCGAGAGAGACAGAGTACGACGCTCGGAATCAGCCTGCAGGTTGGGCTCCACTCCACGCGCACCTGTCCGACGCGACGGGGGCCTTGTCGCGGGCAAACCGGTGCGACGTCGTCCGTCCGTGGGCTCGGCGTGCAGGGCGTGCAGGCTGTCGCGCCGGGCCGCGCGAGCCGCGCCGTGGGCAGTCCAAGCCGACCGGTAGGCAGGACAGGCCGGACGGGCAGGGCGCAGGACCCATCGGCCCCGTGGGCGCGCTGCCAGCTGCCAGCAAGTCCGCGCCGCCGCCACCGTCGTCCTGTACGGGCTTATCCTCTCAATTGCTCCACCACCAGCAACAACAACAACGCCATGCTGCTGCTGGCGGAGACGAACAGTGTCAGCCCGGGCCGCGTTAAAAATACCGCCACAAAACCAGAACGCGCGTTCAAAAAAAAAAAAAAAAAAAAAAGGGCGAAATGACGGAACCGTCGTGCGTGTTTGCGCGTCCGAAAACTTCGGCCAATGTTTCTGCCTCTGAATCTGCTGGCGACGACGTCTGAGGGCCATCAAGCAACCCCCGGGAACATTGTCTCGTGGCGCGCGGCCACTGGCGGCCACGCCACTCGCAAAACAAACCACCGCCCGCCCACGCACGCGCCACGCACGCGCCACGCACGCTTTCAGGCGCGGGCAGAAAGATGGATACAGCGACAGACCGAATCCACCGCACTTTCACTGCGGGCCGCCCCGTGAGTGCGAGAGAGACAGAGACACATCACGCACGCACGCGCCTCAGGCTGTCGCAGGCATGCAAGCAGCTGCCCTGGGTCGTCACCCCGAGTCACCCCGCCCCCTTCCGCATGCACGCACACTGTCGGGCCCTTCCAGCCTCGGTCCGGGCCGCCCCCAAATCGGCCGGAAAATGACGTCACCGCGGCGCACGCGCCGCAGAGATTCGTCTATTTTTACCGGCGTGATTTAGGCCTTCCCGCGCGCGAGCGCACGCGTGCCGGGCACGGCAGACTCCGTCTCCGTCGCACTCGAGGCGCGTGCCGCGGGGCTGCGAGAGAGACGGCGTGCACGGCGTGCGTCGCGCGTCTCGGCCGGCGCCGCTTCCCTCCCGGACAGTGGCGGCGTCCGCGTGGTGTCGTAGGCCCCTACGCTGCAGGGGCAGCGGGCGGCGGGCGGAGGGAGGCCGAACCGCGGCGGACCGTTTTAGATTTCGCCAAAGCGACTTGCATGTGGGACGCGCTCTTTGGCTCGCCGGCCCGCGGTCCGCCGCCAGCCTCCTTAGCCGCATCGGCAGAGTACGCAGTCACGCAGTCCGATTTGCCGCGCCACGTTTCAAAAACCAGGAAATAAAAACAACAAAATCAATAACAAAAGGCAGGAGGCCGCCACGCGCACACCCCTGGAGGGACCCGGCCTGACCGCGGCCGCGCCCAGCAACACGACGCCGAATGAAGGGGATAAAGTAAGGCCCGGCGACGTAAACGCCACGCGCCCCATAAAAGAGGGGGACGGGGAAACGGAGTAATTGAGCGAGAGGGAAAGAGAGGAAGCGCGGAGGAGAGAGAGTGAGAAAGAGAAACGTCCAGGGGGTGCGTGGCGCGCCGCCGAAGATAACGCCGAGAGCGACCTTGAAGGCCCTGACGGCCTCGGAGGCCTTGACGGCGAACACGATGCTGCCGGCCTTTTGGGCCCCCCGATCGCCGAGGGCCTGGAGGAGGACCGACTCCGTGATTCCGCACAGCGTTTTCGTGCGTTCTCGCGTCGCTCCGTCCCTCCCGCACCCCTGCACGCCCCACGAAACGCGCCACGAGAGCGACAGAGACAGTCGGCCACCCACGCCAAGTCAAAACAGCGCGGCCGCCGCACGCGCGCCGCCGCTTTCCCCGCGCTTTTGGCTTTTAGTATCCAAATTAGCGATTCCGCTCGGTTCCTTCGTTATTCCCGACTCAATAGCGCGCCGTCGTAAAGCCCCAATTATTTCGGGATCGGGGCGATAACGCGGGAAAGCGCGCGTTTTGCGGGCGGCGCGAATGTTGACTTTTAACAGAGTACCCGCGGCATATTGGTCCTGCTTGGCGCAACGCCGAGGAGACGGGGGCCCCGCAGTGCCTCGCCCTGCGTGTCCCACAATAAAAGGGTTCCCTGACCTCAATGAACCGGGCCGCGACGACCGGCAGGGTGCGCTGTCTCTCTCGCACGCACGCGCAACGCCCCGCGAGTGCGAGAGAGACAGCGCGACGTCAGTCTGCAGCAGATGCGGCGGCGATACGGGAGCCAAGAGCGCACGGAGGGCGGCGGGGGCGGCGGCGAAGGGAAGGCCCGTCAAGATAGCTGATAGTGCGACGTGTAACGGGGCGCGCATCATATCACACACACTGAGTCACCGCGCACTTATCGTGGCTAGGACCCGCTCCGCTCGGCGGCCGTCGGCCCCTCCGTCGGCCCTGCCTTTCCCCGATCGGAGTCCGCCGGGCCGGGCCGGGCCGGAGTCACTCCAGCTCCAGCGGCTGGACTCGGACTCCGGCCCACGGCCACGCGACCACTTTCTCCAGCCTTCAGCCGCCGAGCCCCGGCGTCACAGCCGTCACAGGCCCGTCACAGCCACGCCACGCCGTCACAGCCCCCGTGACTGGAGGCTGCCGACGCGGCCGACGCCTTCGCAGAGACGACTTCCACGACACTGCATGAGTCACTGTTGCAGCGCGCGCGACGCTCCGCCAAAAGTACAGACGGGCTGCACACTGATTCCGTCGCCCTGTCTCTCTCACAACGATGCCCGGCGAGTGCGAGAGAGACAGAGCGATGAAGACAGCAGGACCAGCCGGCCCCTGGATGTTCCTGGAGCGACGTCCTTGCAAACGGGAGGCGCTGCGGCGGGGCTCGAACCCGGGACTGACAGGATGTGCGTGGCGGGGCGACGGGCCGACAGCGAGGGGTGGGCGAAGAGGTTGACTCACACTCGGTGACTCGGTGGGGACGGGGACTGGCGACACGGTGGGCGATGGGCGAACCGTCCGAACGACACGGCCTGGCTTGGCCTGGTCGCGGCCCCAACAGGGAGGACGATAAACCAACTCCGTACAGTAAACAAAGACTGCAGTACAGGGTACAGGCCCGGCCAGCCCAAGCCAGCCTAGCACCACTGGTCACCCATGCGCCGGAGCGACCCAGCTGGACCCAGCCCACAGGACTCTACCCAAGACTCGGCCGAGACCAAGGGGCTTCAAGCCCTCCAAGTCCTTGGCCTTCCCTCGTATCGAACCCCCGATTCCCAGAGCTCCACAGAGCCGCACAGAGCTTCGCACGGAGTCCTAGAACAGCTGTAGGACTCTGACTCCGGGGTGTCACCTTGAGTCCTTCGAGCTACAGGGCTACCCATAGGGACAGGAGAAGCACGAGCTGCTCCACAATGGAGCTCCAACAGCAAACCCACTGAGGTGCCGCCTCCCCCCAAACACTGACACTGAAGTATCTGGTCACCTGAGTGAGTTTATGCAGTCGGCAAATTTCAAATGTAAGTCACCCACCACCACCCTAGCCCACTGACAAACCATGATTCCCCAACCAAAACCACTGCTTCTTAAGATTGTTTTGCATCGTCTTTTATGAATAGTTTGGCAGAGGACGATAATCCTGCAACTATAATAACACCAAAAAAGGGGATACAGCTGGTCCTATCTCAATCAGAAAAGTATCAAGCGATTGATAAGATAGACTCGTCTTATCAGAGGAGAGTGTCAATCTAAATTCAATTCGAATATAATACCAGTACTACACAGTCAGAAATATAAGGATAAGATAAACTTATGAATCTCTTAGAAAATATCAATGCATTTTGGGTGGAAGTGTTTAGGCTTACTACATGGCACTGCAAGTTTCCAGAAAGTCAATTTCCTCCTGGCCATCTATAAGGAATTTTTATTTCATAGAAGAAGAAAATGAAAAGTTATACAAAGAAAATAGTGACATGCTTACCATGGCCATCCATAACCACAAATTCCCTTGCAATGGTTTGAGAACTAGTACACTAGGAATATTTTAAGAAAAAATGGCCAATATTTTGTACAGGTTTATGGCATGACACATTTAACGACAGAAACGCCTTGAATTGTTTAATACATTAAACGTTGACTTGGTTTCTCCAAATAGAAATTTACCAGACGACAGACTGCCTCGACAACTCACGAAGTATTCGTTGTACAAATTCCGAAAGTGAACTTTCAGAGGCAGAAACTTATAGAAGAAATTGGCTTTTAAAATGTACCAAATTCGTAGAAAACCGGCATTTAAAAGCAACAAAAGGACCGCTGGCAGCAATTCGAAAAATTCTCATGCACCATACATGCTATAAGACACTATATTTCAGAAATATTTATCAATGTGTGGGTCGCAATATCATTGCGTGCTCTACTTACCGATAAGGTTAGAGTTAGGTATCCAAACTATCCAAAAGGAGGGTTTCGCACAGATTAGAGAACGTTTCACTTAGGTCCACTGACAACACTCATCCATCCATACATACACACATCACCACAATCACAACACAAACTGACACCTTCACGAGAAACGAGTGACAGACCACTCCGAAGACTTTCGACGGCCGACGGCCGACGGCCCACGGATGGAACTTGTTACGGAGTTCACCACCAGAGGGCGTGCGGTGAGAGGGTTGAAAAGTGTAGAAGGCGCAGGCGCAGCTTAGAAAACATAACCTCTCGACATCGTGCTTCAACTCAACGCAAATACTTCTTCTCCCGTTAATTTTTGAATTTGTCCATTTGAAATGAAGTCTATCAATCCAACGCTGACAACGATTGAACTTTCGGAATTGAAACAGTATTTTGGGGATTCTAGTGACAAGGCGGGCAAGTCTGTGTGTGTTTATTCGGAAACCAGAGAAGACCTTTCAGAGACTTTTGCAAAGCATGACAGGATTGAACAAGTATGTGTGTGTCATGTTGTTTTCGTTGTACGTAAAGTACTGAAAAAGTTTTAACTTTGATTTGTTGGTCCTTCCAGATTGAGGGTGGGTCACTTGTGACCTTTTCCTCTTCGAAACGGGCAAGGAAAGCTGTATCAACCCATCATGGAAAAAACGGAAAGATTGTCTGTCTGGGATTTACTCCACCTTTAATAGCCCTGGGGCACAATCCTGACATCTTTGTTATAAGAAATTTGGTAGAAGGTAACTGTTTATTTCTGTGAATGTGTATTTTGCTTTTTATGGTTTGCTATTTACTATTGCCCTGTTGTTCTTATTTCTAGAAATAACTATCCCTCAGCTTTGGGCATTCCTCGATGGGGACAAAAATCTTGTCTCTCATATTAGTATATTGCCAACACCTAACCGTGACGTTGTTATTTTATGCAAGGTATGTAGCTTTGAGAAATTGTTCTTTCCCTCTCCTTGTGATTGCTGTCTTAAAGCGTCATTGCTCTCTTTTGCAGGATAAAGAAGGGCAGAAGCAACTTCTGAGCAAAAGTGGAACCAAACTTAGAAAGTGGACCATACAAATTGAACTGTGGTGGGAATTTTGTGCCCGTTTGATGACAGGGAAGGAGCTATTTGTAGAGAATTTACCTGAAGGTACAACTGTGTATATTTTACTGAATCAAGTTTTGTAGTTCATAGTTAACAGAACTGTCTTATACTCTGGGTTGCTCATTTTCTTTTTTGTAGGTACCACTGTGGATTCTTTGAAGACGCTTCTTGGGGTGGGTGATGATGATCTTGAGTTTGTTCAGTTTGATGAGGTCCATCAAGTGAGCCTTATAGTTTGCAAGGTTAGTATTTATATTAAAAATACATGTGTTCTATTGTTCGTTAAAATTTCTGTTGTCACTTATTTTTAAATATCTGTTTTGTTTAGACTCGATTGATAAAGCAACAAATTTCTAGTAGTGGTTTGGAAGAGCTCAAGTTTAGTCTTTTACCAAAATTACCTTCTGATAATCAGGTCTTTATAAACAACTTGCATGAAAGTAAGTTTAGTAACAGTAAGAGACTTTGACCGCATATTTTTCAGTGTCTTATCCTATTGTCTTTGTCTCATATTTTTCTTTGTATCAGCTTCTACTGAATCAGATGTTCAAAAATTAATGAGTGGTTGTGGCAATATTATGAAAGTTATATGTTGGCTAGACAACAAAACTGGCCGCAAAAAGGCCAGGGTTATTTTTGAGGTAAGAAGATAACATCATTTTAAAAGCACATTTTTATTACTATAATTATTTGACAGCTGAAATTAATCTAACTTTGGTTTTTCCTTGTATCAAACAGGACGCAGAAAGTACTGAAAACGCCTTGAAGCTTGGTGGGACAGAACTGAAAGATCTGCCTGTGTCAGTGTGCCGACTAGCAGGATCCCAAATCCCCAAAACCCCAACAGTGAAAACCTCAACCCCAACTACCCAAATCCAAAAGGAGGTCTATATCATTGCCACCTCCTGCCAGCTAAGGAAAGTTAAGCCAATCGACCTGTGCTTGATGTTCCAAGAGTGTGGCTACATTGAAGATGTTAAGATGCCTCCAATGATTCAATTCGAGAAGTCCACACCAGCTGTCATCAGATTCAGGGTGAGCTGTCGATGTGTGGAGGGCGGGGAAGGCCCGGCGGCAGGCTAATTCCAACCAGTCTATCTCTCTCTCTCTCTTGCACTTGTGGGGCGTCCCCTAGAGGTGCGAGAGAGACAGCTCGCTCTGGTGCTAATGCGTGGCATGCTCGTTGCCCTGTTGCAGGACGCGGAGGCAGTCGAGAAGGCCCTCTCCATGCGCTCTTCTGTGCGCGGTCTTCGCCTCGTCGTCACCCGACAAAAGCCGAGACACTTCCAACCCCCTGGCGCCAGGCACGTTCGCTGGAAGAACTCTCGCGGCAAGCGCCATGGCGGCAAGCGAGAGTACGAGGACGAGGAGTCAAACCCCGCCAAGAAGCAGAGAGTATTCGCTGACTCGAATGAAGACTGATACGGAAAAATAAAGACTATTCGTTTATGCGACCATTCTGGCTTGTTTCCTTCCCTGATCACCCGTTGGCGGTCCCCGACACAGCTCATCGCGTCTCTGCTCAGCGCAGCGATTTACGCTGACAGTTTGAGGGGACGTCCGTGTCGACTCGACGTGGAGGTTTTGATCCGAGTCCTGAATGAAGCACACTTCCACGAAAAGTCTTCAGCCGACCAAACTGCAAACGTCACGACTGATGACTACAGTGGGGTCACGAGACACGCCTCCCACGTTTGATGTTCACTGCTGCTTGTTGTCTGCGCTCTGCGTTCGGTCCGGACTTGAAGTTTCTCTGGGGAACTCCAGGGCTGGTCCGCCTGTGGGGTAGGCTGTGCCGGCGCGCACGCCGACGCAACAGGCCTGCCTACCCCACAGGCGCTTGACTCTTGGGCCGCGTCATCCCGACCCACGCACGCACACTGTGATTCTTGTTGGACGGCAAATTTGTATCCCTGTTTACCCAAGCACCTTGATGAGTCAGCCATTGGGCGAGCAGCCGGGGCCGGGAAATTCCGTCCCTTTGTTGGCGCCGTCCTTCTCCAGTGCGATCGGCGGCGTCACTCGCGCGGTGGAAAAGACCCGGCGTTTCCAGCAGGCTTCGTCACTCCGTCTCTCTCGCACTCATGGGCCGTGCCGTCGGGGTGCAAGAGAGACAGAGAAACGAAGCGCTGGTCGGAATGAGACGGCAGTGGAGGGGGCAGTAGTGCAAAGACTACGGTGGCGGCATCACGGCGCCCAGTCGCTGGACCGGCCGGCCACCGCGAGCACCCCGGCAGGCCGCAGCTTCGCCATGCTCCACCCCGTCCCGATGCACGCCGTCCTGGCGGCGCTCCTGGCCACGGCCGTGCTAGAGGCCGCGGCCGGCGTGGACGACGCCTGCCTGTCGTGCCTGTGCCAGGCCGCCACTGGATGCGACGCGAACCGCGACTGCGACGGCGACACTTGTGGCATGTTCGCCATCTCCCGGCAGTACTGGAAAGACGCCGGCGAGCCCGGCGGAGGTGGGTGCGGTGCTGCGGGCGCTCTTGACGCCAGCACTGCCTTCTGTGAGTCATTGCCAGGATGTCGCTCTGTTCCCAGACTTTGAGACGTGTGCTCTGGACCCGGCTTGCGCGACGCAGTGCGTCCAGGGGTATTTGCAGCGCTTCGCGAGGGTAGGTAAACCGCGCACCGCGAACGTCTTTACAAATCAGAGTCTCAACCGCATTTCTCCGCGGACTTCCTTCGCGTCACCAGGACTGCGACGGCGGCGTCGGCTGCGCGGACTACAGCCGCATTCACCACCTCGGCCGCGAGGGCTGCAGCGACGCCCTGGACGGCGACTTCGCGCGCCGCCTGGACACCTGCAACGCCTCCATCCCGCTCGGCGACTTCTACGCGCGCGCCGTCGCGAGGCCCTCCCGGCAGGATCGTCAGGGGGTACGCCACAACCGTCGGCCGACTCCCCTCCCCACTCTTATCACCTCAAACTCATTTCTTACCCGATTTGCAGAACTCGTGGAGCGGCGGCGGCGGAAACACTGCGCCTCGGCAGCCTTCCGGGGGAAGTCAGGGAAGTCCCAGCTTCAACTTCAGCCCCAGCCTGAGCTTGAGCCGGACCGTGACGGTGAACCCCACGTACCAAAGTGGCTCCACGCCGGGCAATCAGTACCAGGGCGGAACCAGTGGCTACCAGTCTGGCTATGAAAGGAACGGGGGCTACCAGAGCGGCGCCACCGGCTACAACTCGGTGTCCGGCTACCAGAGCGGGGGCTACCAGAGCGGAGCCTACGAGGAGGGTGGTGGTTCTTCTTTGTGGTCAGGGCGGCGTCGGGTTGGCGGCTACAGAGGGGGCAGCGGCTACGGCCAGTCCGAGTCCGGCTGGACCGGAGCGTACGGGCAGCAGGGCAGTGTGCTGTGGGGGGCTGGAGAGGGCTACCGCCCCTACAGTGGTGGGGCGTACTCAAGTGAGTCTACGGCCTCCACCTAGTCTTGCGCTTGCAAACACGGAAAAGTTCCTAAATTTTTCTCTTTTTTTTTGGCGGGTAGGAAATGGCGCGGTTTCGGCGTCTCGCGGCGTGTCTGCCAACTGTCTCAACTGCATCTGCAACGCCCTGACCGGGTGCGATCCGTACGCCGACTGCAGCAACGGTGGCTGCGGGGCCTTCAAACTCTCGCTGGCCTACTGGCAGGACTGCGGCTCCCCAGGACAATGCAAGTATTTTTTCCAAAAAACAAAAAACAGCAACAAATAACAAACTATGAAATATTAATTTTTAAAAAAATCTTTGCAGCCTACGAGTACTGCACGCGTGACTACTCTTGTTCCAGCTCCTGCGTCCAAACTTATGTCTACAAGTACGCTCAGGTCAGTTCTTTCCCCTCCCCTTCCTTTTTCTGGTCAAAAGTTCTAGCTTCAACGTATCACTGATTTTTTTTGACACGCAACGCAGGACTGCAACGGCGACGGGGTTGTCGACTGCCGAGACTACGCTCGAATTCATCGCCTGGGTGGCTTCGGGTGCCGAGGGTCTCTCGACTGGTCGTACAGAACGCGCGTTGACGCATGCTCAGCCTACTGAAGCAGGTGGAAGTCGAAATACAAGCAAGCTAGGTGCGAGGCGGCCTGTCACTAGCTGTCGCGCGCGCCGGGAGGGTAGGCCACCCATCCGACCATGAAATGGCCAGTGTTGTAAAATTTTAAGATCATGAATGTGTTACTGACCCTGACCTTGATTCTGTGGCACTTCAGCCAGGGTCTCAGAGCAATCTGCCCTCACTTGAAGAGCTTCACTAATCCAATCAAGGTAGGGACCACTTGTATGGGTTGGTGATGGGGGGAAGGTAGCAGTAAGATGAAGACAGAAAATTGTCAAATCAATACATTTATTTAGTAATGCTTGTGATGAGTGAATTAAAAAAATTCATGAGAAAATCGGAATGATTTGTACAAAGTGCACAATAAAAATGCAGGTACCAGTTACAGGGCACTACTGAATAAAAATATTGAGCAGACTAAGGTAACTTATTCGTAGATCCAGGAGGTAGCAGCGGGCTTCCAGTCGACCACTTCCTTAGGCTGGAACCACAGGTCAATCTCCTTCTTGGCAGACTCAACGGAGTCGGATCCGTGGAGGATGTTACTGCATAACATGAAATAAAGACAGGTATAAATTTTGGAACGTAGATAAAGCGGTTGACGGTTTACCATAGCTAGAAAACTTACCGGCCAACCTGGATGCAGAGGTCACCTCGGATGGTGCCAGGAGCAGAGTCCTTGGGGTCTGTGGCGCCAAGGATCTGACGGCCAGTCTTGACAACGTTGAGACCTTCCCAGACCTATCAACAAAGTGAGATTAGAAATCCATTCAAACGCTATCAATGCGACCTTATGGGAGGCTCTAGCTCTTACCATGGGGACAACAGGGCCAGACGACATGTACTTGCAGAGACCAGGGAAGAAGGGGCGGGCGGCAAGGTCAGCGTAGTGCTTCTTCAGGAGCTCCTCAGTGGGCTGCAAACAAACAGTCACATATCAGTCTGCTGACCCGACCTTGAACTTGCCAATGGAGCCAACGGTCGCCCTGACATCCTGACACTGGGCGGTTCGCCTGTCCGTTGACACCTGCACCAACGTCGAACGGTCCGGGCGGCTTAGCGACAAATCCATTCATTTAATCTTTCATTCAAGCAGCGCGACGCCATTGGCAGGACGCGAAGCTCGCCGAGCGTGGGGACGGACCGGACCGACCAAATCGGCCCGGGCTTAACCTACGGACCGCCACGCGGATCGAAATCGGCACTTGAGATTGGGTGACCAGGAAACAATACCAAACGGTGGCGTCGGAAAAAGAGCAGTTCTAAATTTAGGGCCCGCGGTCGCATGCCAGCAAAGACATGGGACGAGCATAGCTCAGGTCAGCTGGGTCGGCATAGCACTGGCTAATCCACTTACCCACACGAACTTGAGACCGACGAGCTTGAAGCCCTTCTGTTCGAAGCGCTTGATGATTTTGCCGACCAGACCGCGCTGAACGCCGTCAGGCTTGACCATGATGAAAGTACGCTCGGTGACGTCGCCCATGTTTGCGGCTGAATTTGAAGATTGCGGTGTCGAGAGAGACGGAGCCGTGCGGTCACCACGAGCGTGTTGGCAGGAAAGGTGGCGGAAGTGAGGACGGAGAGCCGGTGCGGGCAATTTAAAGAACAAAAACAACAAGAACAAAAGAAACAAAAGACTGGTGTGGGACAAACTGCCAGTTTCAGTAACACACGAAACAGGTAGAAAAGGTGCTTTGCATCTGCGTTGGAGGTTTCAGACGAACTACTTACTATGAAAACGTCCAAAACAGTTATTTCAAAAATAATTTATACATTAGAACAGAAAGCGCTCACGAAAGACTGGATGCACGACTATTTTCTGATATTCGTTGTTGGCTTTAGTGTCATCACGTGACTGTTTCAACATGAAGGAACGCGGCAGTTTTTGAATTTGAGGGAGCAGAGACTTTTCTTTTTGGGAGATCCCTGACGTTTCATTCAACTTATCATTGATTTTGTAAGTCTTTAGAGAACGTGTTTTGTTGTTGTTGTTGTAGTTTTTTTTACTTTTTCGGGAGTGAAATAATGAAAGATTAGTTGCATTAATACATATTTATTAGGTAGAAATGAGTACACTTTCAAAAATCACAGAGTTATAAAAATTATCACAGATATCACACCATGTTGGTCTTCAAGTAGTCATTTTTATCACTGAGCTCTTCTGGAGGGATGAGATGAGTTCTAAGGAATTCTTCCACAGTGTCAGTATCCCACTTTTCAATAGCCAGAACCTGAGATAATGGAATAAAATGAAAGAATCAATAAAAATCAGCACATTCAAGAAGGATCCACCAAAAAACACACATAGGAAAACAGGAACTTAAATGTACCTCTTGAATGTTGCTGTCTTCATCCAAAAGCTTAATCACGGGATCCAAACCTCGCACATAGCGAATGTTCAAGTTGGGAAATTTATCAGGCCTGTCACTCTTGACAAAAGCTATATTTAGGAAAAATACAAAGGGCGAAAGTTAGATACAAAATAAGTGTAAAACAGAAGTGTAAAGTGTAAGGGTGGAGGAAGATAAACCTTGAATTTGAGGATAGGCTCCAAATTTGCAAGTGCAAACTTCCAGGCGTGCTTTAGGATATCGCTTGACAGCATCTGCACTTTCATCCTTGTGGCAGCATTGTTTACAGTGGTCCCTAAAACATTCAAGAAGTTTTTATGAGCATGGTAGATTCAAAGAAAATGGACGGCAAAAAAAATTACGTATTTGTTAAAAAAAATGAAGATTTTTTGGGAAGAACAGGCTTACTTCAATTCATTGAGATCAAATTTACTCAATTGGTCGCAGGACGAACATAATAAATTTGCTTTGTTAAGACCCAAAGACCAGCAATCTTCAGCGGTAAATTCAGCAAAGGAATGTACCTGAAAAAATGAAGTCGTTTAAGCCTAGGAATGCACGAGTTGCAGAGCAGAATGAAAAATAATCATTGCAATACTCTCAAAGCTACAAAAGGGTTTGTTAATTGTTTATATCATCCTTAAAGTAGTATATAGAGCTACCATAACCTTCGCACTTGACGGACTTAAAAGGACCTGACAACTGCTGCTTATTTCCTTCGAGATACCTACCAGACTACTGAAGAAAATGAGGCAAAAGGCTACAACGGACACACTGCCCATTTTGATTCAGAGCTTGTTGACAGGGAAGTCGTTAAGAAATACGAAAATATAAACACCGAGCTTCGTCAACCATTCAGCAGATGACAGCAAGGAGCATCTTGCCTGCAAATAACGCGCTCGCAAACCGGCTTTCAACTGCCAACTTCTCGCTATCAATAACTCTTAAATTGTCACGTTTGAAAGAAAATCTGCTTTTTTGCACCTTTGAATCTCTTTGGTGTTCTCATCCTCTCCTCATGCTGCCAAATTCGTTTCTTGCCGTGTAAAATGAAAATTGTGTAGGTTGGCGATGGTCGTGACGTCATCGCCCTTCCCCGCATAAACATAACCTTTCTGTTGTCTCTTCTTGTTTTCACAGGTGTTTCTGCTAAGAAAGTTCTGCTGTGAGTTTTTGCATTTTATGGAATGATCAGTCATGTCATTGACACGCTGCAAAATACAAAAACCGCTACAATAATTAACTGAATTCTCAACTTGTTTTGATTATTTTGAGGATCTAATTTCAGGGTCATTGAATGAAGAGGTGAAGTATAGTTCTTCAATGGAGCCCTCGCAAAGTTCAAAGAAGTTGCGCCCTGGTCCAAGAGCTACACCCCGTCCAAGGAAAGAATCATCTAGTGCAGCGTCCAACAAGCTACCAGTTCTAAAACAATTAAACAGATACAACGATACAGAATCTCAAGAAACAGAATGTTTGCTATGCAGTGAATGCTTCTCTCTACCTAAAAATATCGATACTTTTCTGACACATCTACTGTCTTCTCATCATCTCGTGATTGCTGATACCCACTGTATAGCTGATTTTAAAAGGTATTTTTGGCTCCAGAGATGTGGTATTGATATTATTTATTCAAAATACATTACTCTCCATTATCTTACTTCACAGCTATATTGATTATTGGCGACCTAAGATTAGTTTGGCCAATTTAAACGAAGTGTGCACTGTCATGCATGCTCCTGTGAAGGAACTGGGTACAAATCACCACGTAGAAGGAGAACAGCAAGAATTCTTCCTGCTATCTGACATCCTTCCAGAAGATTGTGCCTTACGTCGGAGCTATCAGCAACAAAGACTGGTGATTTTTGGAATAGGGGGTGTGGTATTATTGAAAGGATATATGTAACTTTCTTAGAAAATTGCTTTAATTTCAGGAGTGGATTCTTCAAAGGCAGCAATTTGAAAGGGAAGATACTAATTTTAAAAGAGGTTGTCTGATTTGTCGGACTCAAATGTCTGGTACGAGAGCTACCTATCTGCAACATTTAGGTGATGCTCATAACATACAACTAGGACGGGCTGACAATCTAGTGTTTGTAGATGAGCTCATTGATCAGATTGAACAATACTTAGAGAAGTAAGCTTCTTCCTCTTATTATTGTCTTTTATTAAAAACAAATAACCAAAGTGCCTAATTTATTATTGTTTGTATATTCAGATTTCAGTGCATATATTGTGAAAAGTTCTTCACTGATAGGCTTGTCCTCCGAGAGCACATGCGTAAAAAAATGCACAAGCGAATTAATCCAGGCAACCATCTGTTTGACCAATATTACGCTGTTAACTACCTAGAAATGGGAAAAAATTGGCAACAAGTTGCAGTAAGTACTACTGGCATGCCTAAGCTGCCTTCAGTTTGATTCTTTGATGCTAATTAGTTTGGTTCTGACAAATTGTTGCAGGACGAGAAAGAGGGTCCTGAGTTGGGAGGGTACACATCTGGCAGCGAGGCTGCGGATGGGGATGTGGCAGATTGGGGTGACTGGAATGAAGCAACCACCATGACAGTAACTTGCCTATTTTGTGAGACACAATGTGACCAATGGGAAATTGCTATTCAACATTTGAAACAAGAGCACAAGTTTGATTTTCACTCTGTAGTGGGCCAGTTGGATTTTTATCAAAAAGTATAAGAATTTGCCTTGTATGAATTTTGTTGGCATTCAACGTCCCAACTCAAACTAACTTTTGCTCTATGCAGGTCAAATTGGTAAATTACATTCGAAATCAAGTGGAGAACAAAACGTGCATAGTTTGTGAAGAAAAGTTTGCCAATGGAGTTGATTTGCTGATTCACATGGATAACAGTAATCACAACAAATTACCAGACAAAGACCTTTGGGACCGTGCGGAGTAAGAAATTGCAGTAAAGCTTTTCAACTTACCCACTAATTAAGTTACCGAAAAAAATAAATAAAAATAAATTGAATTTTTGTAGGTATTATTTCCCTACGAAAGAAGATGATGGATTTCTTTGCCAACTCGATGATGGGAGAGCAGACGATGAGGGAACACCAGATTGTGTCACAGGGGAGGATCCAGATACTCAGCTGCAAGAGGCATTGTAGGTATCCACACTTATCATCCTCTTTTGGTTTTGGAAGACATTTTGTTTGTACGAATTTCTGACAATTTTACAGAGTGGGAGGTCGGTTGTCGGAAGTTATTGAATTAAAAGCAGAACTTAGTCAGCCACTTCAATTGCCAGTGAACACAAATGCTGACATGCAAAAGTCTGAATCTACAAGAGTAACACACCATGTCAAATTTCAAGATGCTGAAGAGAAAGAGAAGTAGATAAGGCACTATTGTGGATGTTTGGATTAATGAAGTGGAAAATTTGCCTAATACTGTACTGCCAACAAAGACAATTATCTGAGTTAAATGATCATGAGTGATAAAGTGCATTGAATCATATCATTGTAAATAAAATTGTAAAGTATAATTGTGGATATTTTTTATGAATGATGAATTAACATCTGTACCCTAAGTCAAATCTACTGTGGTGTTTTCAACTGACCTTATACATTAATTAAGTACATGGTGATTGGCTTTGAACTAAAGCAATGAGTGAATCTAAACTGTCGTTTTCAATGGCTCTTCTGATAGACTTGAAGAATTCCAGATAATGGTGAAAATTATGGCTGGAACAAAATTATGAAATTATCACAAAAGTCTGATGAATAACAGCTTATGAATGAATGACAGAGGTTCCATCCTTACATCATAAGAAGAACTCTCCCCAACAATTCATGGGATGTAAGAAGATGATGAATATATGCTTTTGTATGATTTTTGCAAGCAAGACACTCACAGTCCTTTGAGATTGGCTCAAATACTTCTTTGTATCTAGCAAAAGAAATTGTATTTCAGCATGGAAAAAAATACAGCAAGAAGGGCAGTTTCATTAGTAAACAGAACTTACGAGACATCTTCCAGACAGATCTCATACCAAAGACCATCAGAGTTTCCCTTCGGTGTTTGGTCTGAGGCAAGCATGGTTTCATTGAATAAGAATGTGAATGCTGATCCTCGTTCAGTTGAGAGGTAAGGCAAGGATGTATCAAACATGTCAAACCCAGCAGCCACAAGCTGCAATAGAGTGACAGGATTCCAGGCTCCGTGTATAACTCGCAGTTTTTCCTTGGGAAGGTGAGTCTGCATGACATAAAAGGCACAGTGAGATTAACACTAAAAAAAAAGAAAGGACATTTATTCATTCATAAAAATATATGTTGTACTCGTCTCACCAAACATTCAGTGACAATAGACTCCACAGAAATGAATTTAATATTTTCAACTTCTGGTCCGTTATTGTGAAGACCATCCAACACATAACCAAATACATCATACTTGCTTAATTCTTCTAAGAATGCTCTTCTAGCATGTGTGTCATATCCACCCTCTATAGGAGCTAGGAATGCCGAGTCCTTCAGCACCTGAAGAAATTAAACCATCAAAAAGGAAGTATTCTTGTACTCCACATTATGTCCTAAATTTCAGCTTGCACCCTCACCCCTGATGCTTCGTGTAATCTGTAGCACTCTTGGAGCAGATGTGACGATCTTGATACACATTTACTCACTCTTTTCTTACTACTATTGCTATCTGTATCCCCATCACACAGTGATAGATACACATTAGGTTTCATACTTTCGATCATGGCCATATACCTGCACAGATAAAAGTGGTTACAGATGATTAAAATCAACATAAAATAAAATTTAACTATCGTAAATAAAAAATTATAAAGATGTTCAAACCTTGAAGGGTCAACGATTCTCTTTCCATTTTTGGTCCAAATGGCCACTTTGTCTGCCTCATTATAACCCGATGGAGTCAAGACCGCAGGATCTTGAGGTGTGACATATGAAGGGTACTCCTAAGGTGAAAAGTAAAATAAAGGCTCTATTGTATAATGGACAGTAAATAAAGAGATAATGTTAAAAATAAGTATCTCACCTTCAGGCCAACAAACTCAGAGAGCCCTTTCCCGAATGATTCAATACTGGTACAAGATGTGAAAATTGTAGTCAAAGGCATGTGCATAAGCAGATTTTCAGAAGTAATCATTTGGAGAACATCATGTGTGATGTGAGGTACATTGCCTCCCTGAAAACATTGGAGGCATATAACCACATTAAGTCTCACCTTCATCAGAAATGACAAGTATTTTGACAAGTGAAACGACATAATAGAATCATTATTAAGGCAATTTAATTTAAAATTTCTAATGTGAAATGCATTTTAATTGACAATTTGTACTGGACATAATTGTTGCACTCACTGACCCTCGTGTACACAGTAAGAAGGGGTGTTGGTAAGGTTTGACCGGCTATTGCATCAATGCCAGTCAGACAACCTATTCTCCCAGACGTCCTGATATGGTTCACACTGAATTTCATGCTAGAACGAGAGGCGAAAACGTCTATTTCCTAGGTAAAATAGTTTTGGAATTGATAGATCACAGCTTGGTTAAGTTTGTTTATCTCGTGAATGTAAATGTGAATATGAATGAATTATTAAAATTGGTCTTGAGTCGATCGATCGAATCGAGTCCAATACTCGACACTGAAATCGATCGATCGATTCATTTTCAAGGTCCAAAAACTGTTCTGCTTCTCCTCCACTTTCTTTCTACCGCAATTTCGGCCCTCAAATGCCAGTTCAAATTGTTAAGGCTACATTTAAAAGTGCATTTATGCTTCAATTATAATTACAGCTTTGTTCTGGTTAAAGCTGCTTGACAACGCAGTAAAAATGAGTAATTGGAAGGTAAGCTTCAAAGTATGACGAAAATTCTGTCAAATGCAGTCTCTGCCATGTAACCTCTTTTAGAGTTGAATTCTATTTATTTTTCTTGGGGAGAGGGCCGAACCATAATTATCTTTCTTCATCTCTTTACGTTATGTTGTATGAATTTTGTAAATTGCGTCTACCTAGCATTCAGATTAACATTTCTCTCCTCAACTTATTTTAACAACTATCATGTATTTGTGTGTCACTATTTTAAATCAACCAACAACTTTACAAACTTAATGGAGGTGTCTTTTCTAGCTCCTGAGGGCAATTCTTCTGCCCAGGAACATTGCTTTGGCAGCAGTACCTATAGCTGTCAATGCAAAAGAAGAACCACAGAAAGGAAAGACTGCCCTGCGACCTAGTGAACTTCCTATTTATACCGAAGAACTTGTAAAGTAAGAATCTTACTTTGCTGGGTTCTAAAAATTCGTTTGATGGTTGGAGATAACTATGTTATACTATTAATGTTTTCTAGAAAAGCTGCACCTGAAACTGCAAATGATGAAGTTAGTGCTATTGAAGAGCTTGTCGGAACAGTGAGAAAAGAATTCTGCTCACTTGCTGGTGAAGTTAACAGCTTAACCAACAAAGCTTCAGCAGTAGTGAAGGAAAATTTGGAAGCTTCTAATGGTTTGTCCCACCAAAATCATATTTCGTTTCTATTTTTATGTCTGTTGTGTGTAATGTGCCTTACCTCTGTTCCAGAAATTCTTGACTTCCTGAAGGAGGAGGATAACGTTCTGCCAAGAGCTGGTGCAATTGCACTGGGTGGTCTGACAGGTTTTGTCTTTGGCCTACGAGGTGGTTTCTTCAAGCGCCTCATCTACATGTCATTTGGAGCGGGAGGTGTGGCTGCTCTTTGCTATCCTAAGGAGGCTGAGGAATACTTTAACGAAGGGATGGTCGAGGTTCGAAAGTATGGCCTGATTGGTCACCATTTAGCCACATCAAGTAAGTGTTCTCTTGTTTGCTTAAATTCTTGTTGAGTAAATTAGAACTACTTTTCTCAAAGCTCTTCTTTGCGTGGTGTTTCTGAACAGTTTTGGATGATTTACGAGGAACATCTTCAGATTCTGGTAGTTCTCCTGCTAAAGAAGAGAAGGAGAAGAAATGAGGCTGATTATGTCTGTTGTTCATAGCATTGTAACAATAGTAATGGCTGTGTAAAGTTTTCTGTATTCTGATCCTGCGTTCCAGACCTGGTCCTGATGCCATCATTTCATTGTGAGCAGTTTTTAATTTTGGTTTGTTGAGCTGCTCCACTGCTGCTTGAGTCTAGTCTGCAGCTGTTAGCAGCTGAACCATCATCAAAGCTTTTAGAATGTAAAGGGTCCAGCAAACCTGTCTCTTGTTTACAGATGCTCCTGCCGTCTTTGATTTTTAAAACCTTGCTTATTGCCTAGATTTGTCATTTATTAACTCATTTTTCTTAGTTTCGTATTTAACGACATTACTTTCTATGACTCAGATTTCAATTGTACTGTAAATAGCTGTTGCTGGCTTGCAGCTGTCACAAACTGTTATGAATCTTTGTTATTTTGTTTTCCTGAAATACAATCTTTACAAGGATCATGCCATATCTATAACTAGTATGATTAATCCTTTGTTTATTGAAAACTACAGTAGGCTGTTGGAGAAACACTTACCCCTGTCGTTTAATTTGCTTGTACAGGCTTCAATTTCTTTGAAGATGAAAGCACTGATGAAAAGTGGCTTTATGAAGATGAGTACATTGAGAGTGAATTTGACTCTCCAAATCCAATCTTTCATGATTTTGAAGATGGTATTGCTGAGCTGGTTGTGGAACAGAAACACACAAATGCTGTGGGACGCTCCATTAAATGTTCGGAACCAATGCCAACATTGGAGCACAACCACCCATTGATATGAATTATTCCCGAATAGGAATGTATGCAGTTTGAATCTTCTCAAAAGTGAAACTGAACAATTCAGGTTTGACGCATTTATAAAACAATCAGATATATTTGCTTCACTGCCACTGCCTTTATTCTTAACTACAAAGTAGATAGAATTACACAAACTGGCATATTTGGATTTAATATCAAGAGAGCAAGTTAGCCTGGAAGAAAATAACATTGCACTAGATTAACTTCAGTAGGACATGAAACCATTTGTCACTGAGAGAGAGAAACACGCGCATACCCACATACACACACACACACACACAAGGACACAAAATAAAATGCAGTGGTATCTGTAGTGGCCTAAACTCTAGTCTTAGTCACCTTAAAGCTCCACAATAGATAGAAAACCAAGGTGTGGCTAAAGAAAACCCAACAAAGGAGAAAAGAAACAATTTAAATCACATACAGCTTTGGTCTTTGAGTAGGGATGAAGTCCCCAAAGAATAAATTGAAACTATCCATAAATAAAATATAAAAACTAAAAGCAGACAACATAGTAACAAACTTATGTTCAATAGATTGGACATTGCATTTTAAATTAAGAGGATTATTTACAAAATCAAGGTGGGGCCATGAGGAAGCCTTCCTCTTGTTAGAACTTAATGAGTCAGGCTCGATACCAAGGATCAATCTTCATACATTCAAACCGCAGCCAATGAGCCATACAAACACACACAAAAATTTCAATACTGAGCCTAGATTGTATGACAGTACATAATCAATCATGAAATAGTGCCCAATTATTCAACCAGAACATTTATCAAAATTCAGACGGACATTTTTCTTTTTCCAAAAACGTACTTAGATAACAATCAGCCTTACATGACCACACATATTAGATACACAGAAGAGAATACTGTATACCAATCAGAATCACAGGAAATAAATATTAAATACTATTTGAAAGTAAAACAATCATTATGTTGAGGCGCACTTAATAAAAACTTGCCAAGTACAAAAAAATTTGCTTCTAGGAAAGGAGACACAGTTACCATAACACATTTACATTAAAATTGTTAAGTCTAAAATCCCTGTTCTACACCACTTCATAACAAGTAAAGATATATAAATTACTCAGTTCTTGTCGCTGTACTGTTTTAACAATGGTTGAGTAGTTACAGAAGACAAGGTTTTACACACATCAAAAGTACTTCTCAAAATCAATTTAACATAATTCAAAGAGTCCATTTATCTACTTTAAGCAAACAAATCTAGATAATTATCTTTTCAGGCCTTGAGAACTTGAAAATAACCTATGCCACTGGTAGGACAGCAACACATTTTCAACTGAACACATTAAATGAAAATGGCACTGGAGACAAAATGAGCGTATACTTTAACTTTTATGATTGTGCAAAAGTCTATCTAATAATAAAGCTACACTAGTAGAAGAGGGGTGGGACCACTCTCATTGTGAGGTTTCATTCGTAATTAGTAATAAATATGAACAATTACAGAACAAGTACAATAAGACAAGACTAGAAACAAAAACAGTTAGGGTGGTTGTTTGTAAAACATGCAGTTGAAGAAAGAATGAATCCTTAAGGAAGTAATGCATTGCAAAGAACAGTGAAAAGCTTGGATCACAACAGAAGTACTCAGCTAGCTTAAATCAAACAGAATGGCATCAGATCAGACAAATTGCCTGTATATGCAGAGATATACACTGCCCACTTCAGCCAAATGCCCTAAAGATTGGTTCTCCTGAAATAATACAAGAGAGATTTCCACTAATGAGTCTAATAAACTGTTGTATTATGATTTGCAGGACGTCCACACTCCTCTTCGAGCTCAATCCCTTAAGTTGAGAAAAGTTCAAATTTATTTTCAGACTATGTAGATACTGAGAAGCATACCAACTGATTGGATAATTAGAGGTAAAATAAAAGGTGGGCTTGAACTACAAGAGATAAACATGCTTCACGTGAAGCACACTCTATAATTAATACCCACATATAAATAAATTATCCAGCTATTGTATGTCTAGATACTTCCATTTAATATTATGATACGCTTCCTGTGCGTTACCCTCTCTCCCTGGTAGATGACATGAGTTGTTCACATAACAGGACATTTGAGGAAAAGACTAAAACATTACATCATACAACAAAGCAGTCCAAAGCAAAATTTCCTCTTTTATGACTGTTGCAAAAGCACATAGCAATCAAGTTGCAATCACAAAACATGAAAAAAAAAGAAAACCTCACAGGTTACCCACGTATGGGTATAGACCATGTTCCTCAGCAACTGATGAGGGGGATGATGGGGGGCCATTCTGCTCCTCCTCCGCGAGCTGTTCAGAATAGTAATGAGGCGAGCTCAAATAGTCAATTACTCTTCGTGGAAGAGGAAGAGAGGAAATTAAATCTCGTCGCACAACTTTCAGAATAACAAATCTGAAATAAAGACAAAAATAATGAGAAACTTAGATATACCATCAACATGTCCAGGGTGTTGATGATAATTGTAAACCATACCTGCACATGTGTTGCAGGCTTTGCACCTGCTTGAACCGTGAGACAGGATGAAGTAATTGAACTCTCATCGGCCCAAGAACAGGTCGACGATGTAAAAAGAAGAGGTATCTGCCTGACCGTGAATGCTCTACAGCGTTTTCAATAAAGTCAACTATAGTATGACTTTTGAACTTTGTACAGCTTCCAAAACTGAAGTTACCTGAACAAATTAACATCCTAAGTATTCACAACATGTTAAGGCAAATATTCACAAAGCACACACCCAGAAAAATACCTTGGTCTTGCTCAATGCGAACGTGCCGTACACAGCTGTTTAATTTAAAGGTAAGTGAAAATATATAGTGGTCATCACTTGAGTCTCGGACGATAAAAGATCCATCAGGTTCATTTGATAGAATTTTCTCAGCAGCCTCTCCAGATATCGGGCCCCAGTACCAGCCATACTGTTAAAAAAAATCACATTTTATTCAGGGGGATAAGATCCATGGAATTACTGAAAATCGGTGAATCAATTAATTGAATTCTACCTACATCTTTGACTTTTTCAATACTGGATGCAAAATCTACACTGGGCTCATCATCATCTACAGAGTCATCCGGAACTGTTTGAGCTACTTCATCTGTTACTATCTCTTTTAATGTGCCATCCCGTGCAGGAAGAGGTGGTAAAGCTCTGGTTGAAAAACGAGCCTGCGGAACAGAAGAAAATCATAACAGTTGCAGTTGAAACATATGAGTTAGTGGACATTTTGAAAGCACATACCTTTTGATGAGATGAAGTGTTATTTGTGCTAGTATCACCAGGATCATGACCATCATCATCACCACCAATAGTCCTTCGTCTTCTAGATGTATGCTCAGGTGAGATAAGACGCCGAATCCGGAACATATTGCAAAATGTCTGCTTCAAAGTAGAGGAAAAACTCATGCCCCGTTTAGGTTTTCCTTCAGGAATTAACATACAATCTGATCCTTCAGGACTGGCTAAATCCAATGTGTCAGAGCTTCCTTTACTTTTCTTATTTCTGACATTAATACTGAAAGTACTTTTTTTTTGAGATTTCAAGACTGGATTGTTGTATGTTACACTAAGATTTTCTTCAATGTTCTCTATTGACATGGTTCCATCAGAATTTTTGGACTTTGATAGAGTTGATAAACGATGGGATTGCAAGCAGTTATTAGGCTTCTTTCGATAGTCTGATGAATCACTAGAGCTCGAATACAGAGAACTTAAGTACCGTCTGACTTCAGCAAGTGTCATATGAATTGGCTCTCCAGGAGTCGCACACTCCATACTTGCGGATCGCCCTGGCCTGCTATGTCTCCTTTGGACAGATTGTTCTGGTAAAAGAACTCTAGGCTGGATGGTGGTGCGACTAGAAAGTGTTCTGCTTTTGCTGGGTTCTACTTCAGATTTTTCCATCTGTTTCCGCTTTCTTCTTTGATGTCTTTGACGCTTTTGCCTTTGAGGTGGGATGGGAACTGGGGCTCTGACCATGTCAACAGGCACAGCATACACATCACAGTCTACTGGGACATTGTACATGTCACAAATATCACCAGTAGATAATACCTCATGAGACATAGCTGAAGTAATGAAGCTTGAATCGTCTACTCTGTTTGCAGCAGGGACTGATAATGAATTGTGGGAACTAGACAGTCTTGAAGAAAGAGAGCTCCGAGAGGCTGGTCGACACAGTAAGTATGGCAGCTCAGGAGTCCAACAATAACGGAAACCTAGAGACGGTTGTCCATCGGATGTGAGAGGTTGTTTTCCATCACTTTTACTACGCGGATGACAGTCCTCAGAACAATGAATAGACCAAGAAACTTCACTGGAGACCAAAAGTGCTTCCTCCAGCACCTGAAAACAAAAAAATATAATCTTATGCAAAACTCTGACTTTGAGGACAACACCCGAACAATGAAAACAATTACAAGGCTTACTTGAGTCACCATTTTCACAGCCATTTTCTCTAGCCACTTAGGAACGCCTGGATGTAGGCGGGCAGGGGTCAATCTTGCAGGCGCAATAGCTGAAGCATGAGGTCGCACAGACCTTCCTAAAGTGACCTGCGGAGACGTAAGGGGAGAATCTTGTGGTGTGCTTGAGTATGGTGACGAATCTTGAAACTCTGGAGGAGGTTTAATTGCAGGAGGCTCTGACCAGGATGACAAATCATTTGATGAATCGTAAGGTTTATCAGAAGATAGTTGGCACGGAGAATCGCAAGCCATCATGCTGGAGCCTCTTTGCCAGTGGTTCAGGATTCCCCTGCACATAGTATGTGGTTTGCAGTGGGGGCCATCTAGTAATAATGCGTTTTCATCGCCATCATTTCCCTGCTACAATTAAAGGTAATGCATTATGCAAGTGCATATGGAAGAACTAACCTTAACACAACGTCAAAGGAAATTATGAACAGAGAAAGAACTTACCTCCATGGATTAATTTCTCCAGTCTTTCAATATTCAGCCTCTGATCAATTGATTGTGTGCATAAGCAGAAGACACTGATTGCCAGCATAAGTGCTCTCTGGAGCTTTCAGTCCTGCAATTTAAAACAAGCCATAACTTACTGACAAAACTTCTCTGGCAAATGATGAGAATGTCACTGGAAAAACACCAACACATGAAATATTGCAGTTTATAAATTGGGTGTTAAGACAACATCCTATCCAATTGCGTCAATAAACAAAAAACAAAACAAAAAAAGTGTGACACAATCCCCATAGGTCCGCATATTTAACTACTTTCTTGCGAGTTGAGTTTTGGTGGTTAACGGGGTACATAAGTCCGGGTAGTATCAATTCTTTTTTTTTTTTTTTTGACACGGATTTGGAAAGAAGTCGGATGGTTAAAATAAAGTGTGTCGTCTGTACATAAACCAAAACATACTTTCGTCCTGTCACGACTGCTCATTTCAAAATCACCATGGCCTAAGGATGTTAGTCCATTCGCCTCCATGTCATCATCTAAACACTTACAGGTTATGCTGACTCCTTCTAAACTTCACCAGGATGATATAATCATACATAAAATCATTGCAAACGCTGCTAAGTGCTTTCAGTATTTCTTAACCTTAATTCGCCATATTGGAACAATTTTCCAATTTGTTGACTAATCTTCTGCTTGTTGTGTATGGCTGTGAAAATTCCATATGACCAGCATTACATGGTCTATGTCTAATCGAAACAGGGTTCCGGAGCTCAAACCACTCGAACCTTCAAAATAATCTTATTTTCAATCCAAAATATACAAAGTAAGCCACATGTATTCTAATGTGTCCTGCAAAAAAATCCAAAGAAAATTTCATTTTTTTGATGTTGGTATTGGTACTCACTGACGTAAAGACCCGCCAAAGTTTAAATCGGTGAGAGAAAATACCATTATTTTGGTCGTTCATATTTTATTTTGATGTTTAAGACCAAGGACTCAAAGCCACTCTTTTCACATAGCTGATATTGTGATTCTCTGGGTCTGGTAGTGTTCATGTCGGATCGTGTGCACAAAATACCCCATAACCTAACCCCTCAAGAAGTAGTAGTACGAGAACAGATTGGAACAGATCGAGGGACTGCAACAACGCTTATGTCTATTTTCGCCAATGTTGACAGCACAGCGGTTGACATCTCAATAATATTCCAGGAAAAGTCTCAGCGTCTTCACCTATTGTTAGAAAATACAAATTGTTCTTTTCGCCTGTTTTAAAAGGTCTGCCTGCAATCATGAACTTTTCAACTTCACTGAGATTAGTTAGTCAAAAGCTCCCATGTCACTGCTTTCAATCATTGACCAGTGTAAGAACAAGTGTTAGTCTAGCAGAAGATCCGAGAAGAGCTAATGTGGAGCAAAGAGTAAAAAAATTCCATGAAATTCCTGGACCTAATTCTCTTCCATGGATCGGAACGTCGTACCTGTATCTATTTGGTAACTAAAAGAATTTTCAGTACTATCTTTTGTTTTTATTTTTCTGTAAACTTATGCTTGTTTTGTTCTCTGTATAAAGGGGTTTACAGTGCCAAACGGCACAGAGCTGCTTTCCAAAAGTACTTAAAATATGGCCCCATTGTAAGAGAAGAAATAAAGCCTGGTAATTTTGTTGTATCGATCTTTCATCACAACGATATGGAACACCTGTTTCTGTCTGAAAATAATGTTCCTCAAGCACAAAGTCATCTGCCTATCATAGAATTGCAAAAGAATCACCCCAATGCATTACTTCCTGTGTACGTTTCCTATATTTTTATTCTCCTATTAAAAGTTGATTATAGATTGTTCCGTTAATTATCCTTAATTTTAGGAATGGCGAAGATTGGTTGAAGCTGCGTAAAGAATTCCAGGATTTTAGTTCTCCACAGCTTCAAAGTGCTTATTTACCAGTAGCTGATAAGGCGATAAAGGACTTTGTTACGTTCCGCACATCACAAAACATAGATGACTTCCTTCCAGAATTATTAAGGCTATCCCTACAATGTGAGTCTTATTGGTTCTGTTTGTCCATATTCTAATCATATTTCATTCTTAGTTTTGTAATTTTTTCATATACTTTCAGTAACTTTGCTAGCTGCATTTGATAAAAAAATTGACTGCTTCTCATCAAAGGAAATGAAACCTGATTCTTTGTCTTCTCATGTAATGGAAGCTGTCTTGACTTCAAATCGTTTGCTGTGTTTATTTGACAAGCTGCCGTCAAACCCCAAGGATGTCCCTTCCCTCTGGAAAAAATTTGAGAAAGCTATGTTGCTCATAGAAAAGTAAGTTTTTGTATTTTTGTTTTTCTCTATTTCAACAAGGTCAATGAAATAACAAGTTCATTCATAATTTTTAAATCCTTAAAATTACCCTCAGGGTGTCAGTGGAATTGGTTCAAGAAAAGGCCAAGTCTTTATACCAAAGAAATATGAAAAAATCTGAAAGTGCTGTCCCCTCTCTAATTGAATTTCTCCTGACATCATCTAATTTGAACTACAAAGATGCTGTCAGAATATCCGTGAATTTGCTTCTCGCTGGTGTTGAGAATGTAAGTATAATTTGCTCATCACAATTTCTATTAAGGATAAAGGTGTTTTGCTAACATCGTTTTACTGGAAGTATTTTTAACTTTGTTTTCTAGACTGCATACACAGCATCATTTGCACTCTATCATTTGGCAAAAAATGAAAGAGTCCAAAATATGCTTAGACTTGAATCTCAGAGGATTCTTATGTCACCCACTGATCCCATTACTGATAAAACCCTAGAGGATGCATCTTATGCCAGGGCTGTTCTGAAGGAAGTGTTCAGAATGAATCCTTTGCTCCCTGGTTATGGTAGAACAGCAACACAGGACATTGTATTGTCTGGGTACCACATACCGAAAGGAGTGAGTTTGAAATGTGTACTATGAAATTGGTATGTTGTGTGAAAGTGGATTTAACCATTGTATTGAATTTTCCAGACCACAATAGTAACCGAGAATCAAACTGCATGTCGTCTCCAAAAACATTTTGTACGACCTAACGATTTCATCCCTGAGAGGTGGATAAAAGGCAGTCCTGTGCAAGTTAAGGATAATCCTTTCCTTGTATTACCATTTGGCTTTGGATCTCGTTCGTGTGTAGCTCGTCACCTTGCTGAGCAGCAGCTATTGTTGCTTCTATTGAGGGTACGGGTTCTTCTCTTGTGAAAAACAACCTCCAGGACTGGCCACAATATATGATGCTGATGCTCCATTGGTATTTCAGGTGGTTAGCAGCTGTGTTGTCAGTTGGACTTCAGAGGAGATCCTTGATTGCAAGAACCTGAACTCGACAATCAACCAACCAGACAAAGACCTAAAATTTACTTTTAATAGAATTTTCTGAGAATTCCAATTTTTAATACAATTGTTTTGATTTGTACGTTTTCCAGTTCTCATGATCATATGTTATTTGAACTCAAAATATACTTGCTTCCTTTTTTTTTCCCAATTTTTGTTCTATTTTTGTAGAAAAAGTATTTGTGTTCTTTCTGGCAGTCGTAGTACGCCCGCCTTCCCGCGCTGTTTTTGAAGCATTGATTTCTCATATTGACTTGCTGTTGGAAAGGGACGGGGGGGGGGGGGGGGTATTCAGGGTATGCGGGCCACCGCACCGCGCCGGGACTACCGGGGCCGGCGTGAAAGTTGAGAGTGAAAATTCATTCAGTGTTCAGAGCAGGCTTCTTGACTTGTGACGTGCTTTTAGGAAGAACAAATTCCTTCTCTCTTCAAGTTTGCTACTTGAAATCATTTGAAATGCATGTCGTTACTTGCATTGCACCAGTTAATATTGCTGTTATAAAATATTGTAAGTAGTTTCTCTGCACTTGGGTGTTTTTTGTTTTTTTAGGTGCCACTACAGAAAAGCATTTTTTCTTGTTTTCAGGGGGCAAGCGAGATGAGGTCCTCATTGTTCCTACCAATGATTCCTTGAGTGGAACTCTTTCCATGGAACAAGTAAGTTTAAGTTTTCAATTTTAATGCAATTTAATTGTGAAGGATTCGCTGTTTGGATTTCCCTGAGATGTTTAATATATTTTTTGCTTTCCTTTTCATTTTACCTCTGGATTGATTGATTTGTGTTTTCACTTCAAAGATGCATGCCAAAACAACCATAATGGCCAGTCCAAATTTTAAGAAGAACTGTATTTGGCTGAATGGAAAGTAAGCATACTTCTAGTCTAAATAGCTCTAAAATATTTTTCACATGTACTTCTGAAGCCACCCATTTGCAATTCAGTATGCTGATTTCTGATCTGAACTGTACCATTATACTTGTTAATGGGGTCCAAGGTGTGTCTTATCTCAGATGCCTCTCTTTTTTCGTTTTCAGAGAGGAATCCTTTGACAATGAACGTTTGCTGACTTGCCTGAGAGAAGGTGACGCTCTTCCGTTCCTTTTACTACTGCAAGTTATTTTTATTTTAAAATCAAATCGTTTTTATTGCAGTTCAGAGACGAGCTGAGCGAGATGGCGCCAATAAAGATCTTCTCAAATGGCACATTCATGTATGTTCAGAAAATAATTTTCCTACAGCAGCTGGTCTTGCATCATCAGCTGCTGGTTATGCATGCTTCGGTAAGATTTTAGAGTTTCAGCAAAAAATTCTCAACTTGGATCAAAATGTCAAATAATGTCAATTTGGTTGCAGTTTATACCCTTGCACAGTTATATAGTGTGAAAGGAGACGTATCCCAAATTGCACGTCAAGGCTCTGGAAGTGCCTGCCGTAGTTTGGCAGGTGGATTCGTCAGATGGCATATGGGTTCTGCACCTGATGGTTCAGATTCCATTGCAACACAAGTTGTGCCAGAAACTCATTGGCCTGAAATGAGAGTCATTATTCTTGTTGTAAGGCTTCCGATCAATTTCAATATTGGTCATAAATTTTTTTATACGCTAGTTTTCTTCTAATTCTCATTAATTTTAACAGGTAAATGACAAGAAGAAGAAAGTTAGCAGTACATCTGGCATGCAGCGATCAGTTCTAACAAGTGAACTTTTGAAGCATCGAATCACATACTGTGTTCCTCAGAGAGTAAAAGATATTGAGAAGGTAATGGAGTTCTCGCTGGACAAGGTTTAAAATCCCCACCACTATCACCATTGATAATTTTCTGTTTCAGGCAATTATCTCAAAAGACTTCAACACATTTGCTGAGATAACTATGAAAGATAGCAATCAGTTTCACGCTGTGGCATTGGACACTTATCCACCAGCAGTGTATATGAATGATGTCTCTCATGCCATTGTTGACTTCATTCATTGCTTCAATAAGGCCAAGAAGTCAACAAAGGTCGCCTATACATTTGATGCTGGTCCAAATGCTTGCCTGTATTTATTGGAGTCGGCTGTGGCAGAGACTATAGCTTTAGTCAACCACTTCTTTCCTGGTCACAATTCAAAGAACATTATTCAAGGCCTTCCAGTGCCTCCAGCTAATGTTCAAGTATGTATGCATATGCATGCCAAGGATTCAAGGCATTTGAATGGTACTCAACCGTTAACTGAAATGCAATTTTCTTTTTTCTTTTTAAATTTTCAGGAGACAATTGCTGCAATTGAGAAAATGGGTGTGGTCAGGCATGAGGAAGGTTTGCTGAAGTTTGTGATCAACACACGTGTTGGAGAGGGGCCAAAGCAACTGACAGATAGCAGTCAACACCTGTTATCTCCCTCTGGTGTTCCAAAGCGATTAGCAGAATGAACTTCTCAACCTTTTGCTTAAATTATCTGTTTTGCTGTTGCAAAGAACCCATGGATCAAATGGTGATGGACTTGTATGGTGGTGGACCAATTCAACTTGTACCAAGCAGATAGCTTAGATTTTCAATATGGACTGAACTGACTGAACTGTTACCATAGCTATTTATTTTTAATTGGAAGGCTGGCACTGATGGTATGACTCTCTGGGGGCACAATGAAGTGATCATGTTGGGCCCTATTACCCATAGGAACAAAAATTATAATGTTAAAATAAAATGCAACTGTTTATTTACATGTAAGGGTGTTTACTTTTTTTTTTTTTTTGAAAATACCCTTACTACAAAATTACACTGCAGTCAAGAGCCAACAGGAAATACAATTACAATGAATGATTTTTATGTATATATTTTCTGTAACTTGTATTAACATTGACATTGTGAACAGAAGGCTCAGATGAACCCAAGGTGTACATAGCAGCTAACCTATTTTAAGATGGATCCATATTTTCACTCAGCACCAGGAATTGTGGCTCCTTCTGCAACAAGATAAAACAGACATGAGCCAAAGAAATATTATCATTTATGAATCATTAGTACACAGAGCAATCATGCCAGGCACTTCTGTTAATGGATGTAAAAATGATACAAAATAAAACAGTTTTTAAAAAAGGCAAGGCAATAATATCACAAACGACAAGGGAAAAAAAAGATTGTTAGAAGTTACTCCAAATACATTATTTTGATGTCAACACTATGATAGCATTTAATGAAAACCAAGACATTAATTCGTCACACAGCACTCTTAAAACAGTTACATACTGTGTCATCCAGTGACTTATTCAGGCTCTATAATAAAATGAATGACGGTAGGAAAAACATTAGATCAGTATTTCTCCGTTGGCTGTCCACCACTAACCCTTGGTGAACTAACAACTTGACAGGAATTATTCGAGATGACGTTACGTACTGTTGGGCTTTCCGTCCTTCCAAGGTGTCATTCTGACGGATGAGTCGTCACGCTTGGTGGCGGCAGCACGCAGTTCGGGCTTCAGGGCTTCCCTCACCAGCTTGGCGGCGATGTTGGAGTACCGAATGTAGCTGGAAGAGGGCAAGAGAACAATGAAAGTCTCAGGATAGATCTGGCAGCACTTCCATGCAGACTTGCTGAAACCTCACCAAGCACACAACAAAGTTGTTCACAGTGATTGACTCAATCCGGAGAAAAACAACAAATTCAATTACACACTAGCGTCTTCCGATGACCACACATATAATGAGGACAGCCATGAAATGTGGGAGCCAAAAATTCCACAGGGTGTCTGTCCATCAAGGTTAAAAAGGCACAAGACAAGCCTTCTTTAATCGTGGGTATCTCACTTAACATTTGTTCACTCAAAACAATCACAAGTACTTACGTAAGACCTGCTGCTCTCCAGCCTGACATGATGATCTGTTGGGTATTTCTCTACTTTCAGGGCAGAAAATAGCAGGAATCCTTCCTGCCGACCGAAATTGTCTGCGACTTCTGCAACTTGCAATGGCGGACGGGATGGAGAAGAAGAAAAGAAAACAGGACCCAGTCTGACCAACGCTAGATGATACCTCAAATTTCGATAGTCATAACAAATTCTTTAGGCGTCAAAACGGATAAAAAGGACTGAGAAATAGAGAACTAACGTCTCCAACGTCTTCACCAAGAGTTCATCCACGGAATAAAAGACAACCTCTCTGACACGGACAATATGAGAATTTCATGGCGAGGCGCGCTTTTCGAACGGCCAAAACGGACCGCACACTGCACGCTGATGGATTCCTGTATACGTGCCTGAGAATAAAACGGGGTGAGAAGCAAACTGCCAAGCGTCTTTTGAAAAATGTGGGGATGCAGTGTCATGCAGCAACCATTGGCGATGTGGTGCTCGAGAGCGTGAGAATGAAATGCGAGGTGGAGGGTCCAGAGTCCAGCATCCGGGACTGCCTAGCCTCCGGGCGCTCGTCCCTTCGCACAGCCCTTAGCCGAGGTGACGGGCGGCAATGTCAATGCGTGCGACGAACCAGCCGATAGGCTGGAGGGCTGGATGGAGGTCTAGAGATCTACATCGTGCGGAGGCAGTGCCATGACTGTGCCATGCCTGTGTGGTGCGCGGCCTGGCAGAGCCGTGTCCGCCGCGAGGCTGCACTGCTGGTGCTGTACAGCATCAACAAGAAGCAGCACCTCGTCCCGATAGATAGGGCGCCCGCCCCATCCAGGCTATCCAGGCCCCACGCGGGGTGCTCTCCCACCGCCACGCCCCCGCCGCCCCTGCCGCCACCCCCGCGGCCTCCACCGCCACCCCCGCCGGTCCCGCTCCGCTGGCCGCCGGGCCGCCGCCGCTGGCCGCGCTCCGCTCGCTCACCGCGCGCTCGCGTCGCTCTAACCCCCCAAAATCGATAATGAAAGAACCGTTGATCGATTTTCGGCAGACGGCAGCAGGGACGGCACGGCGGGACGAGGCGAGGGCTCCCAGTGCTCGGCGGGCTTGGGCACAGCGCGGCACAGCACGGCGCAGCGCAGCTCCGCGACCACGCGCGGACCGTTCTCCGCGTCCTCGTCCTCCACGAGGGCGGCAGGACGTCGCCAGAGGCCGGGCACGGCAGTGCGCGCCACCGCCACGCCGCGCCGACACGACTGGCCGACGGCCCGGTGCGCGGGGCCGGGCTGGGACCGTCCTCGTCGACCTGTTGTCCTGCCGGGCTTGGGCTTGGCGCGCTTCACGGGGCAGGACGTGGTGGTCGTCGCCGTGCTGGTGGCCGCGGCCATATGGGCCGTGCGCGTCGCCAGTGTCGCCAGCGGCTGCAGCAGTGACAACCTCGGCTAGGAGGACAAGCTGGCGCCGCGCGAGACAGGGGCCGTCGCGGCGACTCCCGCAGGTAAGTGAGGCAGGCCGGGACAGCCGTGGTCCACCGGCCATCCTCCGCGCCCGTGCACGGCGTCGCGGCGTCGCGGCCCGCTGCCCGCCTCTCGAGGGGAAGTCCGCGCGAGGCTTGAGGCCCCGTACGCGCTGCGTGTTATTGTGGGAGGGGGCTGGCTGGCTGGTCCCCAGGGCCGTGCGGCGCGTGTGGCGCGTGCTGCTCACGCCGCGCGCTCTTCGTCTGCTCTTCGTCACGCGCGTACCAAGGGGGAGGCAGTGGAGCAAAAGCCGCCAATCCAGTCCTTTCCTCGCCGAGTGTTACGTGGTATTTGAACCGAGGCCTGTCCCGGTGCCGGAGCCGCGACGCAGCTTCCCTGGTACTGGGCCGACAGTCCGACAGTGCGCTGCTGGGAATTTCTCATGCCTCGCGCCGCTTGCGCTGCACCGCCGACGAAGCCTCCCGCGAGAACCGCGGTTCGAATCCCCGCCAAAATGCAAACAAAAAGAAAACGGGAACAGGAATGGCTTGCCAATCCTTCTGCGCAGCATTTCCAGCAATTTCGCCGCCCCGTTTTCATCGATCCGCGCCAACGAACGGACTCGCGCTACAGTCGGGGCGACGTAGCCCGCGCACCGGCGACGCTGGCGACGCGACGCCCCTCTCCGCCCCTCCCCGCGCCGCCCGGCGCCCTCACTACGCCGCTCCGGCTGTAGCCCTGGAGCCCTGGAGGCGAGACGCCCCTTGGTCCAGCGCTCCGGCGCCCCGCGGGGGCAGCCCAGGGCAGCCCAGGGCAGCCGGGAAGCTGTGCGGTGCCACTTCTTTCCACGTCCGGTACTAGGCCGTTTGCTGTTGTTGTTGTTGCGCGGGGGAAGGGGTGGGGGTGGGAAAGGGAGTTCTGGAAGGCGGGACAACGGGTCAGGGGTTTGTTGCTGAAAGGGAGCAAGCAACAGGATAGTTCCACACGGCGGGACCGAGATAAACCGAATGCATCACATGGCGGGATTTAGAGTGTCCCGCAGCAGGAGCAGGGATGCTGAGGAGAGGGGGGGGGGCAGCTGCAGAGTGCCCTGGCTCTCAGAGAACGTCGTCATCTTGATGGTGGCGAGCGACAGAGATAGCGACAGTGACGTTGGCTGCCCTGATTGCTCCGTGCACTTCGTGTTTCCGGGGCAGGCGACCAGGTCCCCGCGCTGATGTGTTGGCTGTGTTGTGCTTGGGGTACCGGGTGCCCACTCATGGCGCGGCATGGCTGCCCGCAGCGCGGCTGCGGGGGAGGGGGAGGGGGAGGGGCAGCAGGGGAAGCAGGGGTGGGGGCAGGAGCCGCAGCAGAGAGGAGAGAGGAGCCCGCGCTCAATACGGCCGGTATCGACCCTGGATCAATAGGACCAGGACCAGCTACTGGCCTCCGCACCACGCTCCGCCACGCTCCGCCACGCCTGGATCCAACCCCCTCCGCGCCCCCTCCCGCGGCCTTCCCCGGCCCCCGCACTTCACCTGCACCCTCCGCCCCGCCGCGCCCGCCGCGCCCCGCCCGTCCCCGCCCCGCCTGCAGCGCACCCCGCCACCGCCACCCCGCCCGTCGCCTTGATTCGCGCGTCCCTTCTGTCCCTTCACGCCCGGCAAGTCATCTGGGCCCGCCGCGACCCTCTTGTCCTTTTTCCCGATCGCGGCGAGCGACGACCCCTCGGCCACAGCCTCCCTGCCGCCCTGCCGCCTTGCCACCGCGGGCGGGGACGACGCCGTCGACCGCCACCGCGTCAGCCACCGGGAGCACGGAGCGCGCCCCAAAAAAGCACTCCTTCGATAGTCTCACGTTTGGCCGCGCGGACGGTGGGTCGGACGGGCCCACGCTAAATACCAAGGGCGGGGCGGGGTGGGAGGGGCGGTCACCCGATCCAGCTCGCCGAGTTCTGCGATACGATGGGAAATCGATCGAGCTTGTCGCGGCGCAGTGCCTGCCCGTTCCTCGCCCCGTCCGGGACCCCGCGGCCCCCATGGACCCCGCGGCCCTGGACCGCGTCACCGGGCACACTGTTGTGGGCACACTGTAAAGACGAAACCTAATGTCGACGTGTCCGACCGCAGGAATGGAGCCTGAATGCTACCAACTGAAATGGCACAGCTTCGAGGCGCACATGCAGGCGTGCGTGGCCACGCTGCTGCACTCCGAGACCTTCGCCGACGTGGTGCTCAGCACGGCGGACGGCCGACACATCTCCGGCCACCGCTTCGTCCTGGCTGCCAGTTCGACGTACCTGCAGGTCAGACTTGTAGACTTTAATTTGAGTGAAAGTGCACGTTTTTGCCCCCGTACCTGACGGGTTTGTTTCCTTGCAGCGGCTGCTGGGCGCCGGGTCCATGGTGGCGCACAACCACCTGCCCGTCGTGGTGATCCTGCCGCCGGAGGTGTCGTACCACGCGCTGTGCGTGCTCATCAAGTACATGTACAGCGGAGAGGCCACCGTCCCGAACTCGCAACTCAACGCTGTGCTCAGGGCGGGCGACATACTCAAGGTCCGTCAGTCAAAGTTACTTTCGACACGATTTTGACGCCACGCTTTCAAAAATGATCCAACATGACGCCATTTATTTTGAATGTGTAGGTGCGCGGGCTATGGAGGCCTGGCGCCAGCCAGCACGGCAGCAGCAGCAGTCGCCCCCACCACCTGGTGCAGGCCATGAAGGGCTACATGCGCCGCAGCGCCCCCCGCTCCGATGAGTACGCGGCGGCCTCGGCGGCGGGCATGGCCGTGCACCGCCACTTCATGGACCCCGCGTCCGCGGCCTCGGCCTCGGCCGCCACGGCGGCCCCCGCCGACCATTCGCCCCACGACGCCAGGGACGCCAGGGACGCCAGGGGCGGTGGCCGTGAGATGGGCCACGAGGACCCGGCCGAGGCGACCAGGTCACCGCCGAGGTCCCGCGGGCCCGGCAGGCCGCCGCTGTCCAGGATGCCGTCGCGCCTCGCGTCGCGCCGCGGCGTCAAGGAGTACCGCGACAGCAAGGACGAGCTGAAGGCGCGGCGCCGCGAGGCCAGGCGCAGGGAGCGGATCCACCTCGTGGCGCGGGCCGCGGCCGCCGCCGCATCCGCCAAGCCGCTCCTGCAGAAGGCCCCGCCCGCCACCAACGGGCTGGCCGGCCTGCCCTCCCTGGCCGCCTTGCCCGCCGCCGCGCCCGAGCAGGTCCTGGACGAGCGGATGCAAGAGGCCGAGGACGCCGCGGTAGCCGAGAGCGTCGGCGGCACTGTCATGAAGGTGGAAGGTGCCGAGGAGCGAACCGAGGGCCTCGCCGACCACGCCAACAAGGCCGCCGACCGGCCGGCCGAGGCCGCCGCCGACGAGGAGGTCCCGGACGACGCCAAGCAGACCACCAGCCAGGAGGCGAAGCCCGACGCCAGCAAGCCGGCGAGGAAGAGGCCGGAGAGGGACCGCGACGACGACCTGGCAGACACGCGCACCATCCTGGACGGCATCGGCGCGCTGGCCAACCTCGTCGTCGGCGAGATGAGGATCAAGGAGGAGCCCATCGAGTGGGACATGGAGTCCGAGGTGCGGGAGGCGCTCATGGAGGACGCGCACGAGCCTAACGAGGTGCCCGCGGAGCTGCGCGTCAAGCCGGTAAGTACCCCCGCGAACCATCCCCTTCTTTGAGTACACCATGTGCCGGACAGGAATCTACACATCTATCTCCTTCTTGACTTGAACGCAAACTGCAAACTGTCTGCAGGAGGCGGTGGAGACCGGCAGCGTGGAGATGATGTTCTCGCCCCTCAAGTGCGAGCTGTGCAACGTGACCTTCTTCAGCCCGGGGCACTGGGTGCGGCACGCCGAGCAGGAGCACGGCGAGCTGCGGCGCCGGCCGCGAAGGAGGACGCCGAAGGGCCGCCAGTCCTCGGTGAGGGAACGCCCTGGGGGCCCTGGGGGAGGGAGTACTGTGGCCTGAAACGGAAACGATTTTTCTAACGGACACGCCTTTCCAGCACGACTCCGACCGGTCTGGCCAGTCGGCGCAGTCGATCAGCACGTCCAGCGAGCGGACTAACGCGGGGACCCCGGGCCCCGGGTCCGGCCCCGGGTCCGGCTCCGGGTCCACGTCGAGCGTCGCGACGCCGGCGTTCGCGGCCACGTCGTCCGGGCCGTCGGGCCGCGGGCCGTACGCGCAGCTCGTGTGCGAGGTGTGCAAGGAGGCGTTCACGTCGCCGGCACTGTGGGCCCGGCATCTGCAGACCAGCCACACCGACGAGGAGCTGGCCGTGCACAACAGGGCCAGCAGACACGCCCAGCACCCCCAGAGCCGACAGCGACCCCACCAACCGCAGCAGCCCCAGCAGCCGCAGCAACCCCAGCACCGGGACGACAGCCCGCACCTCGCGCACCACCGGTCCGACGGCCTCCACGGCCACCGCGGCCCCAGCCACCACAGCTACCACGGACCTGGCTACCAGGGAGGCAGCCACCGTGGAAGCAGCCACCACGGCGGCAGTCACCACGGCGGCAGCCACCACGGCAGCAGCAGCAGCGGCCACAAGCAGATCAAGTGTAAGTGAGGCCTGGTACATGATTCTGTCCTGTTGAGGGCGGCCGACGAACCCCGCTTGGTCCCGTAGCTCTCTGTTGCCCCGAGGCCTGCCATGCGGAATTCCCACCAAACGACAAATAACTTTATAAAAGTATCGGAGAAGACGCTCTGGACAACGCAAACGCGCAATCGAGTGGGGTTCGTGGGCCAGCCGGTCTTTGTCGCGTGACGGTCGTGATATTGGAGGACTGTGGCGGCAAACTTGCCAACAAAAGCCCAATTTCTTTTTGTCATTCTTTTGAAAGGTTACCCCACCTTGCGGCCTGTGCCGGGCAACGTCATGTCTGAAATGCATCGTCTCGACACGCGAGTCAGGGGTAAGGAGAAGGGGGTCTGCTGCTGGCCATGCCTGGGCCCAGCCCCGCATCGCTCGCTCGTTCTTCGTTTGTCCACAGCCACGGCGTTTATTGGCAGCACTGTTGCGATCACCACGCTCCGCTAGTCACGTCACGTGTGTCTTTGTTTTCTGTGTGTGTTCAACTTTTTATGCAGGTGCAGAGACAGAAGAAGGATGTGCTTATCCATCTCGCCTAGTCCGATTTTTTAAAACAGCGTCTTTTTTGCTGCCTCGTTTTTTGGGAAGGGGGGAGGGAGCACCCTCTCCCTCTGCGCTGCAGTGTGGCTTCCAATAAAACTGTATCGATTCGAGGTTCGAGGCCCGCGGGGCGGCGCGGGGCCCCCTTCAGCCGCGCCTACGCTTCGATCCACTGCGTGATTCCCATCGCTCTGTCTCTCTCGCACCCCCGTCCGGGCCCGTCCCGGCCTTCGGGCCGCCCCATGAGTGCGAGAGAGACGGCGCGCAGCCTAGGCTTGCCAGGGGTGTGATTACCGCAGCCCTAACGAGAAGCACATAAATGCCAGCCAGAGATAACGACTGATGTTTCAGCCGGTCTGTCAAAAGAAAACAAAGTGTCAGTAGTCAATTTTTTTTTCGCTCTCTCCCTTGCACATTTGGACGGGAGTGTCTTTAGCACAGAAGCAAGCAGCTTTAGATGCCCTACTCTATAAATCCTCCATCCTTCTGGCGGAAAAAAATGCAATCGTCTCTTTTTCTGTGCTTGTCTGTCTCCTCTCATCTTTGTCGCACCTTTTGTTTTTGTTTAGCTTTCGACTGCACCTTTCTTGTTACCTCTGTGTGCGTGTGTGTGTGATCTTGCATGTTACGCGTGTTGCAGCTTTTCGAGAGGCCTTGAAGCATAAGTACAGGGCCATCGTAGCCCCCGCCAAGCGCAATCAGTAACTCGGTGAGTAAAAATCACCACACACTCACACACCTACACACACGCACGCAAGCACGCACATACTCACTCACACATTTTCCGCACGCTTATGGAACGGAAAAGAAAGAAAACACAACAGTAATTCAGTCCACTGGAAACAAACAAACAGGAAGTTTTTTCGAGAACAAAAGTTTTTTCGGTCTGCCACGCACTTGAGGCCGTACGACCGATGCGACCGGCATACGACAGGCTGCCAGCCCCGCCAGCCCCGCCGGCCGCTCGGCGACCGTATCGATCTATCCAAATCGATGGTGCAGTGCCGTGATGGCGGATGCCCGCTCTGCCCGCTCTGCCCGGCTACCAACCCCGCTTCCCGGCGCTCCCCTCTTCCCCCTTTTGGCAGTGGATTTCTTACCCCTTCCCACAGCGGGCTGCAAACTTTTCGCAAGCTTTTCCCGCAATCGCGTTCACGCGCTCCACGTACTATAAAGAATTCAGGGAACTCTCTGTAACCTGCTTCCCCGTGTCGCACCGACACTCCTCTCGTGGCCTTCGGGATGCCGGGAACGGCCGCACTTTTCTTCGGCACAGCACGTCGTAGACGAGTGTGTGGTTGCATGCGCGCGCCGGACAGTCACATTTGAGTTAATATAAAATGTATTTAGAAACAGAAATAAAACGCGAAAGAAATCAAACAGTTGAACGATGTGAACGCGAGGAAACCGGTTCCCTGCCTGCCTGGCTTCTCGGGCGGCGAGCTGCAGTGCGCTCAGGGCCGGCCTCTGTGTTACAGTGCGAATCCTAAGGCCCAGCAGGTGTGCCGGGAGGTTAGCCGGCACGCCCCGGGGCGTTCCAGGCGCTCTAGGCGTTCCAGGCGCGGCCGCAGGCTTCTGGAACAGCAGGGCGGTGCTGCGCGGCCGAGGCCGGCCGCCCGGCTGCCGCGAGGTGGACTGCCCCGTCTGCCACAAGCCGTTCCCGTCCCAGGCCTCCATGCTGATCCACCGGCGGACACACACCGGGGAGAGGCCCTACGTCTGCTGGCACTGCCGCAAGGGCTTCAACGTCAAGAGCAACCTGCTGCGGCACCTGCGCACGCTGCACGGCCTCGTCGTCAGCCCCGGGGCCTTGTCCAGGGCCTCCAGGGCCTCCAGGGCCGCCGCCCAGGCCATGGCCCAGGCCGAGCAGCCGGTCTAAGGGGTTTGCCCTGTGTGTTGCAGCGGCCCTGAAGCGGTGCGGCCTCTGCTCCAAGGCCTTCCTCTCCAAGGCGTCCCTGCAGATCCACCGGCGCACGCACACTGGCGAGCGCCCCTTCGTCTGCCAGCGCTGCGGCTACGGCTTCAGCGTCAAGAGCAACCTGGTGCGGCACATCCGGACGCTGCACCAGGGCGACGACGCCCCGCCCATGCCGCCGACGCCGCCGGATGACCGGCACGCCAGCCCCTCCCCCGCCAGCCCCGCCAGCCCCGGCAGCCCTGCCAGCCCCGACAGCCCCGGCGCCGACGTGGAGTAGGGGCGCAACGCGCAGCAATGCGTCGCTACCCCGCGCTGCGGAGGCCGGCGTCGTGGCGCCGGGGGTATCGCCGGCCCACCCCCACCCCCAGCCCCGCCGCCGGCCTCGCCGCTCCCTGTTCTGTCGCATGCGAAAACCAGTTACCTTTCTTCCTGAACACTGGCTCCATGCTTCGATTTCCTATCTTCCTTTAGTAGTGCATTATCTTCTTCTTCGTTCTTCAACATAACAACTTCCCGAAGTCAGTCCCGCTCGAAATGACTAGAGCGTCGTGTCCTCTTCATTCTATTTCTTTATCTCCCTTAAAAGCTCGTCTTTGGTATTGACGTTCGCGCCTCGTCGAAAGGGAAGAATAACACTTTGTTGATACCAGCTTGCATTTTCTCTCATGTGATTCAATTTATTTTATTGCCGTCCTCCATAAATATCGTTAGAGACTAGCGGGTCACTGTGCGCTGCCCCGAGAGCTAGATGTATATTTAGTTGCGCGCTAAATTGTAAGATATGTCATTCGGTGCGATGAGGTTTGTTCCTAACATTCAGACAAAATGAAAAACGCCCCAGAAACGGATGCTCAAAATGTTTGTTTGTCAGGAATTTCCAAACCTCACCGAACTAAAACGTAACGAATGTGATTTTTTGAAACTTTATACTAGTCATACGTTCATGTAAAGTTGTTAGAGTTCAGTAGATTCAAAACTGGCTGTAAAAGCTTCCTGGCGTTGCAAACGCCCATTATTTTCGTAAGTTGATGTGAAGTGCGAAGCTTTCGCTGTCCTTACAGGTTTGTTACTTTGTTCTGTGTTAGTGGACGTGTGGGGCGACATAGCTCTCGCATTTGTTTTTTTGTTGTTATCGAGTGCAGCAAATACATATTTAGACTGCGTATGGTTGATTGTGCTCCAGAGTCTTTTTTGTTTTCTCTAGACGCAGTAGAGCTATATTGTTTACGATCTATTTATCGTCTATTTATCTGTACTGGAATACTATTATAAATATCTTAATCTATGATGAAAGCATCAAAACTCAGTCCCGGCCTAATCCTCCGGACCCACTGTATTGTGTGACTGTATCTTCTTGTTCGTAGAAAAAATATTTTCCCCAGAGTTTCCCCACTTGCTATGAGAGCTATGTGCCAATCCTTCGTTTCTTCCAAACATGATTGAACGAGCCTTTTCCTGGTCAGATGTGTACTCGAATCGTAGAGTGATAATGATGGATTCAGAGCAGGTCTGTAAGAGGAAAAGAAGAATAAATATTTACTACTCAACGCATAAAACGTCTTTTATTACCCTGACACCTAACGCTATGGGGGAAACCAAGAGAGAAGGGCTCAGTAAATTTAACGAAAGAAATAAAAATATATAAACAACAAACGAACAAAAATATGCAAATGGGGGGACGCGGGAGTCGATCCGCGGTCACGAGCAGCACAGTGCAGACGCGCTAACCACTGGGCCAACACCAACACTTCCGCTCCCCGCCCACAGATGGCGCCAGCGCCGCCTCCGCGGGCAGTGGCGGGCTGGTCGCCCGTCCCCACTGGCGAGGGGTAGCGACGGCAAGGGCTGACGGCAAGCCGACGCGATGCACCGGCCGCCCTCTAGAAAAAACAAAGACGATTTTTTTTGCGTGACTGTATTGGGCCGCCTGGCTCTGTCACAAGGAAGAGAACAAAAGACACTTTCCCTTTCACTGAACACAGCCCAGCCGCCTAACGACGCCCAGTGTATTACGTATGCATATTTTACGGGGCTTCATAAATATTTACTGGCCGCGAGGGAAGAGAGAGGGGAGGGGGTGGGGGTGGGAGAGAGAGGGGCAGAGGCGTCATACGTGACACCGCCGCCGGAAACAATCCCCCGGAAAGGCGGGAAACGTAATTTCGGCTTCCTCGCTGGGTGACGATCATTTTCCGGGCGAGATCGCAGTCCGACCGCGAAAATGGAAACAACCATTTCAACACTTACAAGGAATGTTTGGTTAAGGCGCGGGACGCCCGCCCGAAATGGCATACGATCATGTGTGGTCTAGCCCTTAATGGTAATGGTAATGGCAGGGTAGGCCTTCCGGGCCAGGCGGCGCGCGGCGCTGTGCTGCGGGCTGGCCTACCCTCGGCATCACAGGCGCTAGCTGCGCGCCACGCGCTTCGCCAGCCTCGCCAGCCTCGCCAGCGCAGCGCTCTGGAAGTATCTGCCGCAAAATGACCTCCGGAGAGACGGGGCGAGCCAGGGCGAGCCAGAGCCACTTCTTCCCTTTCATCATCATCATCATCGCGGCCGTTGTTTTTCTCGCTGTTCCTCTCCTTGTCTACGCCGAAATGTCCTGCATAATCCGGGCATTATGCCGCGGTAATGATGTGGCGAGAACTCGGTTCTCTCTCTCTCTCTCTCTCTCTCTCTCTCTCTCTCTCTCTCTCTCTCTCTCTCTCTCTCTCTCTCTCTCTCCCCGCACCCGCGGCACGTCCCGCCAGAGCCGTTCGGGGTGCGAGAGAGACGGAGCGTTCCGGACGCGGCCTGCTGCTTCGCGCGCTCCGCGCTTCGCGCCGCTCAAGGCCGACGGCGTGAAAAGACAACGTCCGCGACCACGCCAACGGGAAAAGGGTTTCGCCGCCCCTAATGTCTCCTCTCTCCGTCGCTCTGCCCCGGCGCGCCGGCGGCGTCGGCCAAATGACGGGGAAAGAAACAGGCTTTTGTTTCCTGACCCGCGAGCGAGGCGAGAGTGTAGTGCCGCGCCAAGTTGCGCGCCAAAGGAGGGCCCGCGCGTGTGTGCCGCGAAACGCGAAATGAAAGCAAACTTGCGCAATATTTCGAAATTGCCGCCGACGGCGTGGTGCCGGGGAAGCCTGGCAGGCTGGCAGGCTAAGCGGACTGAACGTTGGGCTAGGCCGGCGGGGCCGCCGGGGCCCCGCGCATGCGCTCCGCACCGCCGCCTGAACCAGGTCGCCGCCAAAGCCCGCCGCCGCAACATTTTTTAATTTAGACAAGGCGGAGGAAATTAATCGGGGTCTGCACCGCACGCTCGACGCTCGGAGCGGAAGTAGCGCTGCGGTGCGCCGAGGGCTGCTGCCGTTCCGTCTCCCTCGCACCCGTGGGACGCCACGTGACGCCGCGCGCGTGCGAGAGAGACACAAGGACGCTCTGACGGAGAGATTTGCCCGCTTCCGTCAATATTGCGGTTGGCCCTGTCGGGCCACGCGCGTCGCCTGCTCCCGTGCGCCGTGCCGAGGCTGTGCCACGGCCGCGCTGCCGTCTTCGGGGGATCCAAACCTCATCACCATCTTTTTTCATCCTCCTCTCGCGGAAAACGACGTCTGAATGAAGTCGTTTGGGGGCGCGAGTGAGGCGAGGTTAGGGCCCGGCGGTCACCTGCAGACAAAAAAAAGTGTTTTATAAAAAAAAAATTAAACGGAAGTACGGTATTTGAACCCGGGCGCTGTTCGTGCAGTTGGTTCTGCAGCTCGTTGGCGCACTGCAGTGCAGGTGCGATGCCGGCCGAGGTAAGAATAAACAACTGCCGGGCGGCGGACATTGTTTGCATACCTGCAGTGGGGCAGCAGCACGGGTGGCAGCTAGTGCAGTTAAAGTAGGGAGTTACAGAAGTCAGGGTGGACGGACCCGCAGAAATAGAAGAAGAAGAAGAAGAAGAAGAAGAAGGAGAAGAAGAAGGAGAAGAAGAAGAAGAAGGAGGAGGAGAAGAAGAAGAAGAAGAAAGAGAGGGAGAGGCAGGATATTGCGGGCCTCCTGTCATATCGCCGCCGCCGAGCTCGGCCGAGCCAGCCACTATTTCCACATGTTTCTTCATCGAAGTGTCATAAGACGTCCGAGGGGTTGTTTGCGCAGCTCTTTCTGCGCGGGTCTCGTCTCGAGGCTCTCCGAGTAGTGGCGCGGCGGGGCGTGGCGTCGGGCTGAATGGGGCCCGAAGACTTAGCCCTCCGGTGCCCGTGGTAATCACGGGTGGACAGGGCCTCCTGAGGCCTGGCCCCCAGTGTCCTCGACGCCCTTCAAACGTGCCCTCCCTCTCCCCCCCATCGCGCTCTCTCACTCCCTCACGCGCGGCCAAGCCGAAAAACCAAGGCGAGTGGGTCGGTACCCCGGCAGCGTCACAGGCAATTCCGGCCCCGAGTTGTGCGAAGGCCGCCACCCGTCGGGGCGTCGTCGGGGCGTCGTCGGGGCGTCGTCGGGGCGTCGTCGGGGCGTCGTCGGGGCGTCGTCGGGGCGTCGTCGGGGCGTCGTCGGGGCGTCGTCGGGGCGTCGTCGGGGCGTCGTCGGGGCGTCGTCGGGGCGTCGTCGGGGACCCCTCCTCCTTTTCATTAGCATTCTTGTCGTTCCTTCCCTTTGATGTCCCTTCCCATTGAACTAAAACCCCCTGATTCCCCGCAGGCCGGCCGACGGCGGCCTCTCTGGGGCACCGAGTCGGATGTGGAGCCGCAGCTTTGGATACATCATCATGCCCCATGAGTGCGAGAGAGACAGAGCGAAGAGCGGCCGGTCTGCTCCGCATCTCGTTCGATACCGGGAAAACAGCAGCGCAAGCACAATGCCACCCGGTTTTTCCAGCTTTTCTTTTTACAGTGCAGCCGCGACAGCGCGACGCCGTGATGCATTTTTCAGTCGGCCCGGCGTCACTGTGCGGGCTTTGCCGGCCTCCTCGGGCACCGCCAAGGCCACCCCGTTCTTTCGGCCGCTTCAATAGATCACAACCACGCGGCGGGCACAGCGAGTCCGGCGGCCAGCGTCGACAAAAGAATGTAATTTTGATGAAGCCGCGGGGGCTGCTGGGCTGACCAGCGTCACGGCCTCGGCGGGGCGGAGCCTCTGACCTCGGCTTGGCCCGCCCGGGCGCGCCCCGCCTCGGCACACACAGGCCACGGCCCGGCCGGCCCGGGCCACGACAACCTGGCTATAAACAATAAGGCTGCTTGCCGGACTGTCAACACGGACCGGTCGCCCCGTCGGCCGAGCGGTCGGCGCAATGAGGCTGCTGGAGCCCCACTGGGGCGGCCCGGCGATCCGAGCCCTGCAGTGCTCTGCAGCCAGTGCGGCTACAAAGCCCGAGGGCCGCGGCCAACGACATCGGGATTTTCATTTTCGGCCGGCCGAGGGCCGAGAGCGCCGAACGGCGTCCCCGGCACGGCCAGCACGGCGACACCTGCAGCGCCACGACCTCCTCCTCCTCCTCCTCGACGACTTCATCAAAGCCGTCCTCCTGGCCGGCGAGTTAGGCTGATCCGGCTGGGGGCCGCCCGGCCCGCCTTTGAGGTCGTCTTGCGTGCGGGCCGCCGGGCCGGAGCTTCCCCCTCCCCCCCCTCCCGCAGCCCGGCTCTCATTGACTGTACCGTATTTGGAGCACAAGGGGTGTTAATTGGCTAGCTGGCTTGCTGGCTTGGCTGCAGCCGGTCTGCCGTAGCACGGCCCGGCCGGGCCAGGCCTCGGTTTTGTGTGAAGGTGGGGCCTCGAGAGCCGCCCCCGCGCCGCCCCCGCGCCGCCCCCGCGCCACCCCCGCGCCGCCCCACCGCATTGTGGCGACAGACGCGTAAACAAACCCGCGGATTAATTTGCCAGGCCCGAAACCCAAGATCCCCTCCCCTCCCCTCCCCTCCCTCTACTCCCCGTGACGACCCCGCGCGGCCTGTGAGTGGTGACCGGAAATGGCGGAGCGGAAGCATACTACTCACCCTTCACCGCCGAG